AAGCCTTGGAGCACGCCCGCAGCGGGACAGCCCGGGCGCGCTTGAGCTGTCCCCCTGCGGGCGTGCTCCGCGGCTTTGCTCCCCGTCTCCCTGGTCTGCGGGTCTCCAGCAGACCAGGGAGACGGGCAGCAAACCCCGTTCGTAACTGCGGATCCGACATAAGTCGGATCCGCGTAACTCGGGGACTGCCTGTACTTTATCTTTATTTCATTCTTTGAACCTGGGGGTTTACTGTCCGGGGGAACTAATTCAAGTCAAGAACATTTATGTAGTGTAGGAGAACTGCTGTTTTTTCATTCCACAGTCACATCCTCCTCTGAGTTGTTTAGGTTATCTGAAAGTCATGTAGTTCTTCATGTTAAAAGCTACTTCTCTTTGCTAGCCAGTTCTTGGTCTTCTAAAAGAGCAGATACTGATAGTTTTATCAGAATTATGAGAACTATGCAGTCAGCTGAGACAAAAGAGAACAGATGGCAAATAGGCTGGAATCATTCATTCATTCATTCATTCATTATTTCTCTTACCTGATTTTTTTTATTTGTTTGTTTGGATCTCAAAGTGAGATTCTTTACCAGGAACTAAGCCTCCTGAATCAATTAATTCAATGTTTTTTAGACTTCAGATCAGGGTGGGGAACCTTTTTTGTGTCGGGGATGCTGACCCACAGAAAAATGAGTCTTGGGCTGCACACAAGTGGGAAGCAAAAACACACAAAAAAACCCCCAAACCCTGACTGGGAAGCAGAAAAGACACTCCTCGCATTTCCCTCACACAACAGAGCCTGGCGGAGGGAGGCAGCTAGTAGATTGTGCCCCAGCCCCACTTAGGGTATGTCTAGACTACATGCCTCTGTCGCTAGAGGCATGTAGATTAGGCTACCAGACATAGTAAAATGAAGCGGCGATTTAAATAATCGCCGCTTCATTTAAATTTACATGGCTGCCGCGCTGAGCCGACAAACAGCTGATCAGCTGTTTGTCGGCTCAGCGCGGCAGCCATGTAAATTTAAATGAAGCGGCGATTATTTAAATCGCCGCTTCATTTTACTATGTCTGATAGTCTAATCTACATGCCTCTAGCGACAGAGGCATGTAGTCTAGACATACCCAGAGGGATGGCAGGGGAGCTGACGCACAAGTGAAGGCTCCTCAAAGTTAGGGGGGAGCCCCAAGCCTTGGGCTGGATCCAGGCAAGCCGGGGGCTGCGTTTTGGCTCCCGGGCCATAGGTTCCTCATCCCTGCTTTAGATAGATAGTAGCTATTAAAATGAGAGCAGTTTCATTAGGATGCTTTTTGTTCAAAGCACATCTCCCTACAGAAGTCAGTGGCACCTGTGAGTGCTCAGCAATTTTACCAGTGAGGTCCACTTGTCTCAAATTGGACACCCTGAAAGTGAGGAAAAACTGTGAAAAGTATGGCTCAAGTGACTTGCCAGTCATTACATAGAGACTTTGTAGAGTGAGGGATACAAAACCTGTTTTCCGAGTACAACCATGCGTTATGGAGCAAATCTTGTTCCTTCCTTTATAGCTATATAGCACCACAGATACAGATGAAAGATTGCTGCTTTGGCCCAACACCTACAGATTTAAGGGAACTCAGTTTAGCACTTGAATTTTCTGAATATGGGATCACTTCAGACTAGTGATTCTCAGTCTTCATTAAAAGCTGGTTTCTTGGTGTGGTTGAAAACTATCCAGCGTTCCTGGATGTGAAGAAAACTTTGCAAATATAAATAGCTCCAGCAATGAGGCTTACTACATTTATTCTAGGCAGACCTGGCAAAGAGTCCTAGTGTTAAAGTTGCCTAATAGTTTTCATTATAAAACCCTATTTTCTGTTTTTACAATGTCAGACTAATCAGGTTCAAATTCTCTGTGTTTTGTATCTGCCCCAGGTTGAATTTTTGTTTGTTTGCTTGCTTGTAAGTTTCAACAAAAATAGTTCAGCCATTTCTGTGAATGACATTTAGGAAGAATGTTTCACCAACATTAGATTCTTACAACTATTGGACAAACATCTCTATGCTTTAGAATAGGTGTTGGCAGTCATTAGATCAGTGTTTCTCAACCAGTGGTATGAGTACCCTTAGGGGTACTTGAGAGAAGTCTGGGGGGTACCTCAACACAACTGAAATTTTGAGAGAACTGAATTAAGTGTTAAGTTTTACAGCGCTTTATTATTTTTGTATTTTTTACACCCAAAAATTTCATTGTGTCCAGCTACAATTAAGTTATTTAAACAAATATGTTGCAATGGTAGAAAAAAAATTTGTCAAACTGTGGGTACTTATAATGTTTTTAAATGGGGTACTTTATAAAAAAAGGTTGAGAAACACTGTATTAGATGAGTTCTCCCTAGGTTCAAAGAGGTGGCTTTCTTTCTCCCTTTAAAAAGCCATTCAATTTGACTCTGCTCTAACACTCAGGACAAACTTAAACAACAAATAGTCTTGGAGTATGTGTCCATACTCCATAGATGTTCGTTAGATAGTAGGTAGCTAGATTCTTAGGGGATTCCATCTGGATTGTGAGTGATCTTGTTGCACAGCTGAACGGAGCCGCCTTTACAATTGTCTCCCAGTTGTCAGGGCCACTCCACGGGCATTAAACTAATAGCAAGAGACCATCTTACTTGTGCACTCAGTGCTAGCCCTTGTTGGAGCCCAGATGTAGACCGCGAGGAGGAAGTTTCTGGCAGAGTGGATGGGGTGTGGAGACAAGGGCAGAACATATCCTCTCGAGAGTCAGAACAGAGTCCAGGATTTCTGGATCCCGATAGTACTCCATTGCCAAGCAAATACTTATGCACTGGCAAAGTATATGGATAGCCCTCCCTCCAAAGTTGGTTCATATAAAAGGATAATAGTGCATTGATACTTCCAGTTAGTAAGGCTGTCCAAAATATTTGTTAAAATAAATGTCATTCGTTTTTCAATCAAAACAAATGTTTTGGTGGAAAATGTATGTTTTGGTCTACATGAAAAACCAGAAAGCAAAATTGTGGGAGTAAAAATATGCATTTTAGTGCAGAAGTTTTCTGATTTTGAAAATATTTTTTAATAATTATTTTCCAAACAAATTGGTTTTGATTTTTTCATCAGCTTTGTGATAAATTTCCAAGAGGAAAAGAACACTTTTCAAATTTCCATGCATTAATTAAGAAATTTTTTTCACCCATTTTACCACTTCACTCTGGGAGAAGTATGTGGGCCCAAACTTGTTCGATGACCCAAGTGACAGCTAGTAAAATTCCACCTAATGAGTTTTTCTGTTTTTAAGCTTAAAATTCACATACCAAAAAACTCTTATGTTATTTTAATATAAGGTTTAAAGTCAACTACTGCACTTTTAAGAAATATCAAAATGAAGGTGGCTTGTGCTGCAACCTTGATTTGTTGTCTTCATGTGTTTGTATGATATAGTCTTAGGCTTCATCTACACTGCCAGTTTTTCCGGCAAAATATGCTAATGAGGCTTGATCTCATTAGCATATTTTCTGCCGTTTCTTTTTGCGCCAAGGGGTTTTTGTGCAAAAAGCAGTGTGGACTCTAATTAAAAAAAAAAAAAATGCAAAAACCCCATTTTGCGTAGTATCCTTATACCTGTCCCAGAGAGGCATAAGGATATTACGCAAAAAAAGGATTTTGTGCAAAAAGGAAATGTCCACAAAAAGAAAAGGTAGAAAATACGCTAATGAGATTGTGACTTATGCTAATGAATCCCTCATTAGCGTATTTTCTGCTGGAAAAAACTGGCAGTGTAGACAAAGCCTTAGTGCATGGGTTCCCAAACTGGGGGATGTGAAGATGTGAAGAAATTCCAGGGGGAGTGCAAGGCGACCTAACTTCCCCCTGTCCCCATATCAAGTTTTGCTGCCCCGCTCAGTTCCTTCTTCTTCAGGAAGAAAAGAGATGATCTTGTGGTTTGGGCAGTTGAATGCTGCCCATGAGAACTTACTGTCTGAAATGGATATCACAAGTTTTCTTACATATTGTGATGCAGTGATTTTTTTCAAGTAAAATTTGATCAATTTACAAATAAAGATGCATTTTAGTGGCTACTTAAAAAAAACAACAAATAGTCTAGTAGCACTTAAAAGACTAACACAACATAAAGAAGGTATCATGAGCTTTTGTGGGCACAAATGGCTACATCAGAGATCTTAAGGCAAGCTATCTCTTGTACCTCATCATCAGAAATCAAAGTTCTTTGGGGGTAAATTTCAGAATAAATTGATACACTTGTTCAATCATTGTGCCAGCATTGAGGTTTAATTACTGCAAATAACGATAGAATTGACCTTGCAATTAGTTAATCGTAGCAGATGCTAGATAAAGTTCTGTCAATGTTGGGGGTTTTCTTTTC